TAAAATCGTAAATTTTGTAAAATGTGGTTTCAATTATGGAGTGTAGAAGTAAGGAGTACAGACTGTGTATTAAAAAGTGTCCATAGAAAACCGTTAAATTAGGGTGGCGCCACAAACTACGGGGTAAATTTTAAAGAACGCACCGAAAAATGTTAGTGGGATAGACGACTTTTTCGAGGTTATATTTACTAAATAAAATTATTTTAGATTTTAGAGCTACTGAGCAGTTTAGCATCACACTTATACCCGTCGACAACTGCTAAGTTCATTTCATCCCAGTAGCTACTCCAGCGCTGTTGTGGTGAGTTTTTAAACTGTTATTTACTGCTTACAGATGACCACTTTTTCAACTATTCTACTATGAGAGTTGGTACTCCTTACCTATACACTCCATAGTTTCAATGCCTAATCACATTTGTATATAAAATATCCCGTTTCGCTCGTCGTTTTTTAGTTTTTTACAATCCTATAATAGCATTATTACATTATCAAGATAAAAATATCTATCGATTGTGGTAAAAACCCATAGGACACTTTTTTGCGAAAATACGTAGGTGGGTCGATTTTTTTGGAGGCCAGTGTATATGCAAACTCCGACCCAAATCGGCATAAGTGTTCCAATTTATATTCCACTTAGGAAAGATGATGAGGTATTAGCCGGGGAGAATACCTGCGTCTGTAAGACTGGATGGCGTTTTGTGTGATTACCCTATGTTGTAGAGATTTATGGCTAGCTTTGTATGGGGCGCAGTAATCATATTGCTCTTTTTGCCCCGAGCAGTGTGAGTACTGCTCCAAGAATACGCTTGTTAAATATTTCTGAGATCCTTTGTCACATTTCTTGGCCACAGCCATTTTTTTATAAAAGAACGATTTTTGGTTTCTTTGTTAACAACGAACTAATTTTAATTATAGTTTTACCCTTTTAAAACTAAAGGATAGGATTTATTTTGTATGTAGTGCTTTTTATGAACCTTTTAGATCAGAGTTCCCCAAACTTTTTTGTGTCGTAGACCCCTTGCCATGTTTTTCCGTGTTGGGTAGACCTCCTACTTACCTGATATTGATTTCCTGTAAATTTCTAACTGTAGTGAAGTTTAGTGTTATAAACTTAAAGTAAAAACACATGTTAATTTATACATTTATTAATTGAATTTAAATTAAAACTACTCAAAATAAAAATTTGTATCTGTTATGTAAAATATACGTAGCATTAAATAAACATAAAATAAACTATAAATAAAATAACATAAGCAATAAGTCAATATTTTTAGTGAGAAGGATGAACCTGATGCTTTAATAATAAATTATCAACATTTGGCGTCAATTTTGTAAGGGTTAATCTTAAATCTCCTCGGCTAATGATGTCCAGTCTGTTTCTTTTTTTCGTTAGGAGATTGGTAACAGCGCTGAACCCCCTTTCCACTAGGTATGACGATGGAAAGGAAATTAAAAAATTTCCTCGCTATATTCCATAATACGGGATTAGTACGGGTAAGTAAGTAAGTACGGGTATGTTGTTTTGCAGCCAGAATTGCTGATATCCGTTTTTAAACTGAACCTTAAGTTCTTCGTTTGTACTTAGTTCAGTCAGTTCCTCTTGTATTATGACATTCGTTTCTTCTATGTCACCATATGGATTAATTATCCAGGTGGTTCAAAATATCCTCAAACCTAGATTCAAAATCTGAATAGAGGGCATTTAAATGTTGAACGTAAGTTGAAACGTCGTCTTCCTGGCAGCTTGTCTGTGACAAATTAGGGAACTGAGAAAATTCGCCCCGTCCAATATTTTGCTTCATTAGTTTAACTCTGGCAAGAAACGCTGATAAGATGGACTTTGTTTTAATCAAATTTAAACTGTCGCCTTGTAATTGCAAATTAACCATATTAAATTTTGTAAACAAATCTGTTAAATAGGCGATGTCTGTTTTCCTCTTCATTAAATTTTCTTTTAAAATTTTATCTTTAGTATCCAGAAATTCTAAAATACTCTCAAAAAGTGCAAAAAATCTTGTCAAACATAAGCCTTTCGACAGCCAGCGTACTTCAGTGTGAAGGAGTAATTGATGAAAGTGTTCGTCATTTTCTTTACACAACTGCGCAAATAACCGCGTATTACGCGTTGCTCCGGATTCGGTTTACTGCATCAATGACTAAATGAAGTGATTCATGCAATCTAACACTCAAATTTTTAGCAACTAAATGTTGTCGATGGATGACGCAATGTATTGCTAACACCCCTGACACATTTTGTTTTAAATAGCTTATAAATCCAAGATAACGTCCAACCATGGCAGGTGCTCCATCTGTAGCTACTGATATTATATTTGATAAAGGAATTGCTTTTTCAATGAAGTAATCCTTCAAAACATGAAATATTGATTCACCTTTAGTGTTGGTTATCAAAGTTCTTGCGAAGAGCAGTTCTTCGTAGATTTCTTGATTCGTAATAAAACGAACATATGCCAATAATAATGCTGCATTATCAGGTAAAGTTGACTCGTCCAGTTGTATAGAGAAATGGGTCGTTTGCAAATAATTACATAAGAAGCTTTCAATATGAGAACTCATTTCATCAATACGTCTTTCAACAGTGTTGTTGCTTAAGGGAATTCTTTTAATAATATCAGATGCAGGTTTGTGTAAAACAGTTTTTAAAACCTCTTCAACGGCTGGCAAAATTAACTTCTCTCCGATAGTATGCGGTTTTCCGGATTTTGCTATAAGTAACGAGATATTGTAAGACGCCCGCAAACCATCATCATTTCTTTGTGACGTCGAAGCAAACATTCTGTCCAGTGTAGGTCTCTTCTGAAGTTTATCTTTGAGTGTTTGAAAGTATTTCAAATCTTTCTCTGTTTTATCAGGGTGGCATCTTCTCAGATGATCTTGCAGTTTAGATGGTTTCATAGCGTTTGCCCAAAACTTTGTTGTATAAAAGGCACATAGGCAATTGTTTGTCCGGCAATGATGGAATGAAGCCAAATTTGAAATAATCGACACTATACTGTCTACATTTCTTTTTAGATTCGGACATGGCATCAGTCATCTGTAGGCAAAATTAAATTATTTAAATAAGACAGAAAATCCAGCAGCTGTATATTAAAAATATTTTTTGATTGTTCCGAAAACATTCCATAATTCGAACATCTTCTTGCAACAATTAGCTCGAATTACGGAGATTGCACTGTAATTATAATACCGATTGCTAAAACTTACAAAAAGAAACTATTGAGGAGTACTCGTGTAATTTTGTATGATTGAATATTAAACTACTAATAACTAAAGTCATGATTGGCGTAATTTATCTATCTTTGCTAACTACGAGTACAAAACTAAAATTTCATAAAAAATAATGTACTTACTTTTCTCCAACACTCTCAAACAAAATAACACTGACTCACTATAATTTGTGTGATATTCTATCTGTTTATATTTTTTAAAATATTTTCTTAGCACTTTCCTTTCAAGATTCAGGAAACGAATAAACGTATTTGTCCCACATTCGTATTTATATAGTGACGAATTGAACAAGTCAGTGCAAGGTAGCGAAGCTCTGAGACTGCGACTCTCAGGTTTTTACAAGTTCAAAATGTATTGCGACCACAAAACCAACATCCTACAACTTACACAATTTTATAAACATATATAATAAATTTTTTACTTCATAGGTACTTTTATAAATAATGTATATGTTTTGATATTATAAGATATTATGATGTAAGTAAATAGGTACTATCAGTGTATGTGTTGAGATCCACTATCGTGGACCCCCATTTTCATTTCATGGACCCCCAAATTTTTTTTCGCTGACGTAGACCCCTTGCAGGTTGTCATAGACCCCTAGGGGTCGATATAGACCACTTTAGGAATCACTATTTTTAGATTGTAGGACGAGTTTCTGTTACCTATATATATTGTTCTTATACTTTGAAACTTTGATATTTTCTTTTCTTTTCAAAGCACTAAGAAACATAAAGTTAACTCAGCATTATGTCTTACTATTTATAAACAAAAACTCACATCTAAGTACCTAATTGAAATAGGTGTTGCAATAATTACTTGTCAAAACTTGTGTACAATACAAGATAATAAATGTCAATTTTCTGGTTATTACCCGTAGACAGAGAAACCTATAGACAAATTATCGCCTTCTTTCGCATTTGCACACGAAAAAGATAGATTTATGCATACGTCTTGCATAGAAATGAGATAGAGCGTTGTGATTGTTTGTCCCTTTCTGCGTGCCGGTTTTTTTGTTTAGCAAACTACACTTTGCTAAACAACTTTGACAGTTCGTAGCGATCTAAGGAGTTGTGGTTTAAGTGAGAAAAAAGTGTTTTGTGAGCTTAAGGTTGGTGAATCTTGTTCAGTTCAGTCCTTAGAACAATTAAAAATTTTAGCTAAATATGTTTGTCATAAAGATTATTATATAACCTAAAACTACGTTATCGGCCTTTCTCACTCGAGGCCACGCTAATCATTGGTCTATAGGTTTCTCTGTCTACGTTATTACCAATTCATTAATTGTATTATCGCGCGCATTAATCGCATTTAATTATTGCCATTTTTGATACCAGAAATTTGCCTATTTTATCACACCTACTAATATTTCCTAAAGTTTATAAGTAGTTTTTCATTCCAAATATAAATATTTTTATAGGCTTTGTAACTTTGGCTAGTTTTAAAACCTTTCCGTGTCATCCTACTAGTCCACCTTTAGTACAAGATCAAGTTTTGTCTAATTATTTGCAATAATAACCAAACTAACTTACTAATGAACTTAAACAAGAAATCACTGTCATGTAACATTTCTTTGCAAACTAACTTACTAATGAACTTAAACAAGAAATCACTGTCATGTAATAAGTCATACGTACTCAACGTGTAGATGAATAATTTTCAACACTTATTTTTTCACTAAAATATTTAATACTTGTTCTTTTTTAATTATTAAACTAGTCAAAATAGCGTTTAAAATGTATAATGTATTGCAGATAAAGGTACCTAATGAGGAGAAGTTACCGGGAAATCAATGGGCCAAGAAACTATCTCCATCTCTATCTAAGCCAATTGTGATAAAACATGATCATAGAGAGAATAATGTATCCAAAACAATTAAAGAGCCTAACTCTGAAGATAGTTTTTCCAACCTTACTTTACATCAGGCGGAAGTGTCAATTTGTACCCAGAAGTCTGCATTCAGCACTTTAAAGAAAAGGCATATGTAATTAAATTCAGTACTAATTGAAATAAATGTATGAGATAACATTTTGATTTCTTCTGGATATCTTAATTCGGTTTAATTCTGTTGTAGAAATACTATGGCGAAAGTAATGGCTCGAATGGGTATGATAGGTTGATATAATGCACTTGCTAATTAATAAGTTATATAATTGATCCAAAAACGTAAACCCGAGTTTCAGTTTGTGGTTGGCATTGCCAGTGGAACTATCCTCAGAATGGTGGGGGCAAATCTTATAAGAAAGAACTTGTGTGCGTGTGTGTGCTTGTGTGTGTGTGTGTGCTTGTGTGTGTGTGTGTGCTTGTGTGTGTGTGTGCTTGTGTGTGTGTGTGCTTGTGTGTGTGTGTGTGTGTGTGTGTGTGTGTGTGTGTGTGTGTGTGTGTGTGCGCGTGTGTGCGTGTCTGTGTGTGTGTATTTTACACGACAACCTCTAAAAGACTCTGTTATTGCATAGGTTTGTTTAAGAAACCACTTGAGAATAATGTTTTTGCACTCATATTGATTTCGAGAAAAGAGGGATAAGGTTTTATGCAATTTATTATATAAATGGGGGCCAAGGAATATGAAGAATCTGTGACTAAATGTAGTTTTAACTTGAGTAGACTTTGCAACTAGTTGGTTACGTCGTGTCCATTCAGGGATATATTTGGTTGAGGCATGTTGTTTGAGAGCAGTGGTTAAAATGAATAATTGTTTGACGCAAGTATTTACGTCAAACCTTGGTGAAACCACCAGGAAGGTGGATTGGGCGTGCAGGGCCAATCGAATGGCCTGCACGCTCACCAGATTTAAACCCTATAGATTTTTTTATTTGGGGATTCTACAAAGAGATGGTGTATGCTAGAGAAATTAATTCGGAAAATGAATTAAGGGAAAAATTGAGACAGTGCGCAGAAAAAATCAAAGAAAATACAAATGCTTTTCGAAGACTAAAAGCAAATTTTTTAAGACGATGTAGACTGTATATCGAAGTTAATGGCCGCCATTTCGAAAATTTACTTTAAATAAATTTATCTTAAATTATTTACTACTTTTATTATGAATCTTGAAATCATTTGTCCAGACCGTAGTAAGATGATACCTTGTTGTCTATAAATTTTAAACAATAAGACACTTGATGTTATTTTTGCTAACCTGAAGCATTTACTATCTTAGTTTAGCCCTAGAAATGATAAAAAGATTTTTTAAATCAAATTAACTATTCAGGTAGTTTCCTGCCTGAGTAACTTCAGAAGTCTGTAACAGAAAAACTCGCCTATTAAGTGTCATTTTTTATGTTATTATGAATGATTAAGGTACTGCCAAGTTTTTAAAATTAATTAGAAAGTATGAAATCACTTATTACTATTTTTCATTTAATGTTGAAAATTCAAGCCCCACTCTCCTGACAGAAAATTTTTAAGTTTCGATTAAAATTATTGTATCTTCGGTGAATGTTAGGAAGCTAATTATTTTATGCATAATAGGGCAACTCATAGGGATCACGCTACAAACAAAAAAATTTGGAAAAAATCTCACAATTACATTTTTTTTAAAGTTAGGCTGTTTAGGGTGAATATTTTCAAAAAAAGGATAAAAAAATCATAACTCGAAAACCACAAAGAATCGCGGAACATACATAGGGTATTTCCGGATACCCCTAGGTGTGAGGAATCAAAAAAAAATTTATAACCTCACTGTTTGGACCACCCATTATATATAAATTACGTGTCACGTTGTTTGTTCGCGATGGCCTCCTAAACTACTTAACCGATTTTAATCAAATTTGCACACCGTGTGCAATTTGGTCCAACTTGAGAGGTAGGATAGTTTTATGCCCATGAGTGACCCACAACTTTTTTGCGAAGTGAAGGATTTTTAATAGGACATGACAAAGAGTCGTCGAACAACGTCTGCCTGGCAAGCTAGTATATATATTAATGAATACAAGGATTGTGGGCTTTATTGCTTGTAGGTACAACCAACAGTTTGAAAAGTGCAAGGTTTCATGGATAGTGCCAGCATAGGTATGTTTGGATTATTAGTGGCCGACATGTTAGAGAAAGTGGAACAGACTATTCTGTTATTTTGTCTTGTGATGATTAACATCAAATGATAGATCAAGGGCAACGAAAATTAGGAAACTTTAAAAGATGACTGAAACTTAGCATCCAAACATATTCAGACTTGTCGTGAGATCGTGATCCTCGGCGACTTTAATGCCCATCACGAATGGCTTGGTTCACGTTTAACCGATCATGCGGGGAGATCTGTTCACGATTTTGCCTTGGCATATGGTCTGACACAACTGGTTACTTCGCCTACGCGGATTAAAGATGTGGAGGATCATGCACCTTCCCTGTTGGACCTTCTGCTGACCTCTCACCCGGACCGATATCAGTTTTCCGTCGACGCCCCTTTAGGCTCCTCGGACCATTGTCTGGTCCGGAGTGTGGTGCCACTCACGCTGAAATCGCGGTTGCATTCTGCAGGCTGCCGCCGTGTTTGGCACTATAGGTCAGCCGATTGGGATGGGATGCGGTCTTTCTTTGCATCCTACCCTTGGGGGCGGGTTTGCTTCTCGCCGGATGATCCCAACGTTGTTGCGGATTCTGTTGCTGAGGTGGTACTTCAGGGTATGGAACTTTTTATTCCTTCCTCTGTGGTGCCCATTGGAGGCAAGTCTCAGCCATGGTTTGGTCGCTCCTGTAAAATAGCATCATGCTATAAGCAGGAGTGCTACCAAGCCTGGGCTGATGCATCAGCGTCCCGGGATGTAAACACCAGCGCTCTAAAAAAGAAGTATAATTCCGCCTCTAGGTCCTTCAAAAGAGTCATTGCCAAGGCAAAGTCAGAGCACATAGGCAGAATTGGCGAGAAACTAGTTCGCCTTCTTTCTGGAACCCGTGCATTCTGGTCTCTCGCCAAGGCTGTCCAGGGGAATTTCTGTCAGCCATCTCTTCCATCTCTGCACAGGGAGGACGACTCACTGGCCCATACAGCAAAGGAGAAAGCCGATCTTCTAGGCTCTTTCTTTGCGTCTAACTCGACTCTCGATGACGGGGGGAGTACTCCGCCGACCATCCCGCGGTGTGAGTGCTCCATGCCGGAAGTGCACTTCACACAGCGCTCGGTTCGCAAAGCACTCCTCTCCCTGGACATCCACAAGTCGAGTGGACCTGATGGAATCCCCCCAATTGTGCTGAGGACGTGTGCTCCAGAGTTGGCACCGGTTTTAACGCGTCTTTTCCGGTACTCCTACTCCCTAGGCGTAGTCCCAAAATCATGGAAGACGGCTTACGTCCACCCGATCCCTAAAAAAGGCGACCGCTCTGACCCGTCCAACTACCGGCCTATCGCCATCACCTCCTTGTTCTCCAAAACAATGGAGTCCATTGTAAACTGCCAGCTCATGAGGTACCTTGAAGATCACCAGCTGATTAGTGACCGCCAATACGGTTTTCGCCGTGGTCGGTCAGCTGGTGATCTTCTGGTCTACCTAACTCACAGATGGGCGGAGGCAGTAGAGTTCAAGGGGGAGGCATTGGCCGTTAGTTTGGACATTGCGAAGGCCTTCGACCGGGTTTGGCACAAAGCGCTTCTTTTGAAGCTCCCTTCCTATCGGCTTCCCGAGAAATTGTGCGATTGGATCACCATCTTTCTTGCAGATCTGAGCATCAAGGTCGTTGTAGACGGTGCAAGCTCCGATTGCAAGCCTATTAATGCTGGTGTTCCACAGGGCTGTGTGCTATCGCCAACGCTGTTTCTTCTGCATATCAATGACATGTTGCATACCCGTAACATTCATTGTTATGCAGATGACAGCACTGGTGATGCTCTTTACACCGGCCGAGCCAATATTTCTCGGGAAAACGTCTCCGAGTGCCGGGACAAACCTGTGTCTGAAGTCGAGTCTCTGCTGGATTGGGGGCGACTAAATCTAGTCCAGTTTAACCCCCAGAGACACAAGTTTGCGCGTTAACCGCTAAAAAGAACCCCTTTGTCGTATCCCCTCAGTTTCAAGGCACTCCCCTTGTTGCCTCAGCCAGTATCGGAATCCTCGGCGTCGACATATCGAGTGACGTGCAGTTTCGTGGTCACTTGGAAGAGCCAAATTGGCCTCTAAAAAGCTTGGCGTGCTCAGCAGAGCGGGACAGTATTTCATGCCGGCACACCGCCTGCAACTTTACAAGGCGCAGGTTCGGCCGCACATGGAATACTGTTCCCATCTCTGGGCTGGGGCTCCCCAGTACCAGCTTCTTCCACTTGACCGCATCCAGCGCAGAGCGGCTCGAATCGTCGACGACCGAGTGCTTTCCGATCGGCTCGATTCACTGGCGCTGCGAAGAGATGTTGCATCTCTTTGCGTATTTTATCGCATCTATCACGGGGAGTGCTCTGAGGAATTGTTCGGATTAATCCCAGCCGCCAAATTTCGTGAACGCACTACACGTCAAACGTCCCGATACCATCCACACCATCTGGATGCTTGGCGGTCCACCACTGTACGTTTCACAAGGAGTTTTCTTCCACGTACAACCTCTCTGTGGAATAGTTTACCACCGGCGATTTTTCCGGACCGATACGACCTGGGGACCTTCAAGAAAAGAGCTTACTCCTTTCTAAAGGGCCGGCAACGCACCCGCAATTCTCCTGGTGTTGCGGTTGATCATGGGCGGCGGTAGTCACTTAACATCAGGTGAGCCACATGCTCGTTTGCCCCTTCTATAAAAAAAAAAGACTTAAACTGGACCCAGCAGGACACGCAGCGTCTTTAATCGATGGCGACTCGCTGGCGATGTCAAAATCGGCGTGTGGGCGTGAATATTAGCAGCGATTTAGTCGCTGCCAACGCAGCGATCGATTCGCTGTAAATGTGAAGTCGCAATCGCCAGCGACATGGATACGCGCTCTCGGTGCGATTTAAAAATGGCGGACCTACGTAAATATTAGCTATCTAGTTGTTCACGTTCGTGAGCTGTTATCGCTTTTCTAATGCACGTATCC